GCAATATTGCTTGATGTTTAAGACCATGGATTCTGGAGTCAATTTCTAGGTTCAAATCCAGGTTCTATCTACCACTTCATAGTTTTGTGACCATGGACAAGTTAAATTATTCTCTGGGCCTCAGTTTACTAATCCAAAGACTAAGATAATATCATAGTACTTACCTGTTATAAAATTGTTTTGAGCATTACACTTTAAAGTGAACGCAAAGACAAAATAAAGTGAAAGAAATTATATCAGTGTCTGGCGAGTGGGGCGCTAAGAGATTAGCTGTTAACAATGTTTAGGAGTCAGTGGGCCTGAGTTCAAATCCACATTCTATCACTGAATAATAATATTAAGGTCTTGAAATTTTATTCTTTCTGAGACTTGATATAAATATCTATAAAATTGGGTTGTGGTGAGGATTAAAGGAGATAATGCTTGTAAAGCACTTAAGACAGTCCCTGATAGTCTTGAAGTGTTTGCTGTTGTTCACATTGTTATTGATTAGTCTTGGTTTTCTTGTTTACCACGTTAAAATTTGCAAATTTGGATGTATATTATTAGTGAATTTTGGGTTATTGACTTCATTCAGCAAATTTAATTCTTTAAATGTGTAATATTAACCTAAACTAATTATTGACTGTGTGCTTTTAGATAGAGATTTTGAAGGTCCTCCTTAAGAGGTAATATGCATTTTAAAATAGATTTACTTGTCTTTAGTGGATGACCTAGAATACTTGAAGAGGGCAGGTTTATGTATAGATAAATTAACCATGTTTTTAGAAATACACATGCAGAATGGCTTTAGAAGCAGATTTATAGTATAAATAAGATTTTAGGGAGAATCTTATACTGAATGCAAATATATTTTTTATTAGCCAGGCTTAAATTAGCATAATTTAAATTACGTGTGGTTTGGTGTCTTACTCTGTTACCTAGGCTGGAGTGCAATGGCATGATCACAGCTGACTGCAGCCTTGACCTCCTGGGCTCAGGTGATACTTCTGCCTTAGACTCCTGAGAAGCTGGGACTACATGTGCATGCTACCATGCCCAGCTAGGTTTTTCATTTTTTGTAGAGATGAGGTCTTGCTATGTTGTCCATGCTGGTCTCGAACTTTTGGGCTCAAGCAATCTTCTGGCCTCCGCCTCTGAAAATGTTGGTATTACAGGCATGAGCCACCATACCTGGTGTATATCTTTAGTTTAATTTCAGCGTAACCTCTATGTACAGGTGAGATTTACCAAATGTTTTTATATTCAGAATTGTTACTGACAGCATCTGGTATCATTTCAATATATTTGAAATAATACTTTAATCCTGCATTAAGGATAAAGTTATGTCTGAAGATTTTTAAATTTTTATTAGAAAAATGTTATTTTATTTCTTATCCAACACCATATTACTGTTTTAAAATTGTAAATAAATACATAAAATATTTTCAATGAATGTGGAAAATGGGCATCCACTGTGAGTAGTATATTCACAGCAGGCATATTTCACTTTTTTCTAGAGGGGAAAACTTTTTTTAAAAAATTTTTCAAAGTCATAGTATATATTTATCTAAAAATTTATAATGTTAGAGATTTACCATTAATAAAGCCTAGCACCTACATTTGTCAGTTTGGTTTTATTTAGTGAGTGAAGCCTTTTATATGGAGTGAGAGGAGCAAAAAAGGGGAGGGGAGAATTTAAATCTTTCATAACTAATCTTCACTAGAATATCATACTTGTATTTCACTCTCTGAAATATCTTGTTGACATTTCTCATGCAGCATATATATTCTCTCTCCTTCCATTTACTTCTTTTCCCACATGCTTTAAACCAAGTGACTTTCTTCTAATATTTTTCATTTTGGTTAATGCATTACTATTTATCCAATCACTCAAACTAGAAACTTTAGAATTATGCTCAACTTTTCTTCTTCCTCATTCTCTACATCCAATGAATTGGGTTATTATTAATTTTTCTTTGAACAAAGACTATAGTTCACTTCTTTTCTCTGCTACTTCTGCTACTACTTAGTTTAATAACATCATATTTTGCCAGTATTCACTTCCTATTTCAGCCTTCTGATTATGTTTACTAATTTTTTATTTATTTATTTATTTATTTTTTACAAAACCTATAATTGTGTTGCTCCCCAAATACAAAATCTTTTGGATGATATTCAAATTTATTTGACAATTTAGATCTTACTTTCATCTCCAGTCACAGCTCCTCTGGTATATTTGTAATTGTCCCTGAACACACACATATTCATTAATTTACTTATTTATTCACAGGTGTTTATATATCAGCTATGTGGTACTGTGCTAAGTGCTTTAAGGATACACCACTAAATAAACAAGGCAACCATGACTGTTGCCCATTAGTGCTTATAGAATACCATGTAGATTATTTCTGTCTTTGACCGTACTGTTTCATTTATCCTTTTACTGTTTATAGTTTCTATTAATCTTTTATACCCTACTTAAATGCCATCCCCTTTCTAAAACATTTTATGACTTTATCAGGTAGTGCTTCTTCTTTATGTTCCAGTAATAATTTATATTCATTCCTCTATTATAATACTTATTATACATAAGATACATACTATATACATAATAAGTATTTACTATATATTATACTTACTTGCTTATAGTTAATCTTTCCTACTAGGTTAAATTTCAAAATAATGGTCAGGAGGAAGGCAAAAGAGAAACACAAATTAAGGATTGAGGCCAGGGATTGGAAGAAGCAAGAATAGGAGACAAGAAAAACAGAAGTAGTAGTATGAGTAGTAGTTACAACACAAACACTGAAGTCAGATAGGGTTTGAATCCTGATTCTTTCACTCACTAGTTAGGCTCATAGTTAATATCTTTTTGTCTCAATTTATAATGGATATGATAACAGGATCATTGTGCAGATGAAATGAGTGAATATACATAAAGTACTTAAAGCAGTGAGTGGCACATAGTATAAGCTTTATGTGTTTGTTGCTACTTTTATTAGCAATAACTAGCTTTCTTAACTGACATGAGCCACATTTTCTCTCTTACTTAGTTCTCCAAGAGATGGAAGATTTTCAGGCTGCATAAGATCTAATCCTGTGTAGCCACTTAAGGCTTTAAATTTCTGAGTGATCTGAGCCTGGGCTAAAGGGAGAACTCCTATACGTATTTGCTGTTTCCAGTGTAATATTGAGGTACTACTCTCTTTTGCCTCTTCATACCAGATTCTGTCCTACTTCTGACCTTCCTTGCTTTTGAAATGCTGATGATAATTATTATTTACTTCATCCTTAATGCTTGATGCACACCACTGTTTTTATGTCATCTATTGTGGCTTCTTTGTATTTTCTTCCCTTTGTATGCTCCAGCCTTTGTATGCTCCAGCCTGAGGACAAGACAAATAGGGCTGATGGCTGGGGATAATGTCTTGATTCTGATAGCAGGGTCTGTCCCTCAGTACCGGCCTGATATTAAGTGAGCACTCCTACCATTCCTGTCCTCTCCACTGCTCACTCTCATTGTCCCACCTTATCTTATTACTGTCTACCTCATCTTCTACTACAAAACTATTGACCCAACTTTGAATAGACTATAGTGTCCTCTTCAGTTCTATACCTGGTATGCCTAACTTTCATAAATAATAAAAAGCTAGACGATCAAAGCACTTACCATTGACCTGTTGGTGACTTCACTTTTAAAAAATGAGTTGGATACTAGTCGCCATGGCTCTTCTGATTAAGTAAAGAATCTTGGAGGAGATAACATTTTAGTTGCTGCTTGAGTAATAGAGGAAGAAAGAGTAGGTTGTAGGGGACATTTGACACTTAGGAGTCATTCTCAACTAACACTTGAATATTTTATATATATAAGGCACTGGGTATACAATAATTTAGTTTGTATTTAACTCCAAATGAATGGTGTAGTGACAAATAATGCAAAAATTGTAAGCAAGGAAAATTGCCAAGGTTTGGAGAACTTGGAGAAGATTTTGTCTTTTCTCTTTAAGACCTCTCTGGGTGATTTCATTTGAGACCAACTTCTCTTAAGATTCTGGTAACTTATCATAACAAGATTTCATCCCGTTTCTGGAATCTCCAGTGATCTCCTGTCTCTGGGCCTTTGCAGATGTTTCTTATGCCTGGAATAATTCTTACTGATCCTTAAAATATAATCTTAGAGGCTAATAACTTTTAGAAAAGCTTACTTGATGCTTCATCACTGGATTAAGTATTCCTGTGGTTCTTATAGACCCTGTTCTTCCTCAGTCATAGCCTTTATTACACTGTGTTCCCTTTATTACACTGTGTTATAACCATCTTTACCAGATTATTCAAGGAAAACAAGAACTGTTTATATAACAATGCCTGGTGTCTGGTTGGTGCTCCAAAAATATTTGTTGGTTGAGTGAGGGAATGGGATATAGTACATAGAAGAGATGGTCATTCCAGGCAAGGGAAAGAATGAACAAAAACAAGAAATGTAGTATTGAATATTGTTCATACTGAGGCAAAGAGTAGAACCATTTGAATGAAATATAATATTGAAAAGAGAGGCTGGAACTTAAATGCCATATTAGGGAGTCCAGACTTTATTTACTAAGAAAGGGCCATTGAAACTTTTAGAGATAAAAATAATACATATTCTCATAAATTTGATTAAGTAATATACCCATTCATGGGAAATAATCTTTTCTAATTCTTGTGTTAAAATTTTTGTAATACTTTTCAATAGATTAAACATATGATAACTGCCTATTTTGTAGACTCCTTTCTGTCTTTTTAAGATTTTTTCCAACATAATTTATAGGGAAACTTTTAGAAAATTTGAATGAATGCTGTTGAATAAATTGAATAACTGTCATTAAACTTCACAGTTTTTTAAATAAACTATTTTAAACGACAACAATTTAAAAATATAATTCTAATAAGACAGTGTTCTAACTTATGTATGGGGTTTCCTTCTTATTTGTAGTTTAAAGAAAAATAAATGCTTACAGCTGTGACTTTTTTTTCTCTAGTATCTCCAGAGGCAGTTGGATTTTTGTCAGCTGTTGGGGTGTTTATTATCTTGATGCTGCTCCTTTTTCTCTATATTAATAAGAAGTTCTGTTTTGAAAATGTTGGCGGGTTTCCAGATCTTGGTTCAGAATACAGTACAAGGAAGAATTCACAAGATAAAATTTGTAAGTATCATATCACTGTTTTTCTTGTTTGTTCTTCTTATCTGTACTATTCTTTTATTTATTAATTTCATATGTTAGGTATACTTTTGAGCCTACAATATGAGCAGATATATTTTGGGAAATAGGAAGTATCTTGATGCTTTATATAGCTAAAACCTGTTGTCCAAATAGCTCTCTAGATAGCTTTTCCCCCCATATCCCTAGAATGCTTTTGAAAGTATTCACCCTTTTTCTTTACCTGCTGTTTGATACTCAGCTAATGAGTGATTTTATTATTAGGAGGAGGTGCTTTTATCTAGTAATTTAATTTATAAATTCTGATTATAAAAAATAGTGTTCCACTTTTTCCCTTGGGACCATCTATTACTTAGTATCATTAGATACTAGGAGACACGAGGACTGAGATACTGTTTTCTTTCTTTTAGGGAAGTGTTTTCTTTGGAGTTTTAAAAAAATTATTATAAGAGTTCTTTATTGTCTGTTTCCAAAGACTGGCTTATATAATTGATAGCAGGAATGAATTGAAAATTATAAAAGCAAAGTTTTAATTTAGAAGAATTTGAGGAACAATAGCTGAGAAATCTTGCTTTTCTTATTTATGTATACAGATTAGGGATGTTTTTTTCTTTATCTGATAATTTGAAAGGTGGTGGCCTCACTACTTGTAATAGTCTATTAGTTACTGAATTATATTCTGTGACTTTTTTGTTAGGAAACTATAAGTAGTCCCTTAAATGATTTTAATTTGGTTAAGTTCAGTGTTTCTCATATTCATTCCAATCCTACTTTTTGATCATTTGTGTAGAATGAACTGATTGAAGATATTTCTTTCAGCGGTCTTTAGTAATTCTATGGTTCAGCATTTCTGGTTTTCCTTTGATTTAATGACCCCTTTACACTCTTAAAAATTATTTAGGACCCGAAAGGGCTTTTATTTATGTGGGTTACATATACTGATATGTACCCTAATAAAAGTTAAATTGAGCAAAATTTCAAATATTTTTATAGATTAATTATTTTTTTTAAAAAGGCCATTGTATGTTAATATAAATAACATTTTTAAATTTAAAAAACCATGTATTTCCCAAAACAAACCAAAACAATTTTTGAAAAAAAAAAATGGTGTGAGGAGTGATTTTGTTTTACACTTTAGCAAATCTTTTAAATGACTGGTGTAATGGGAAACAGCTGGATTCTCATATCTGCTTTTACATTCAGCCTGTCATGTAGTCTCTGGATTATCCCAGTGTTCACTTGTGAGAAAGTGAAAATGAAAAGTTCAATACCCCCTTACTATTTCTGTAAAACTAGTTTTTACCTTGAAGATCCCATGAAAAGGTCTCAGATCCCTTCTTAATTTTTTTGAGCCTTACTTTTCTTTTACGTATTGAATAGGAATAATAATATTTACCTTCTAGAATTACTGTGATATCAAGTAAGATGAAATGTAAGAACCACAATGCCTTGCATATAGTAGCCACTAAGCAGATGTCCACACCTGCTTTCCCCTAGTCTTACCTCTGTGCAAAATTGTTTAGGTATTTTCCCCTGAAAATTTTTCTGAATATGAAATTATATTGGTAGTTTGTTATTAAGATAGGATAGTTCCCTTACATAGACTATTAATAAGCAAACTAAAAGTACATAATAAAAATCCTTTTTATACTTCTTCTTTCAGGTATAGAATAAAAAAACCAATAGTATTTGAGGGGAAAATATTTTCTTGCTGCTGTTAATGATAGCTGTGGAGTGGGAAAATATGTTAATACATTTAAACGAAGTGGTTTGATTTTTTTTTCTTCTGGAAGAGTCTTTACTTCAACATATTTCTTCCAATGCAAAATGTATTTACAGAAAAATTAAAATCTACGATGTGAAATGCTAATATTGAGCTGGATGAGTAGCAACATTTAAGTAAATGTTAAATTCAAGTTCCAAAGTGATTGATATTTTGAGAAGAGAAAATTTTATTATTGCACTTTTAGGAACAAGGCATTAGGAAATGGCATTTTTCAAAAATTTTCAGCAGAATCTGCCTTCTGTGTCCTCTCTAGTGGACACAATCAGTAGTGCTGTAGAAGATTTGACCACTGCTGTTGGGGAGGTCAGCTATGCTTTAACTGACTCAGTTGCTGAGCAAGTAACAAGTATGATAAATGGCTTTCGCCCAGAAGAGGAAAGCTCTGCAGCAGAAGAAACTGTACTACTAACTTCTAACCAGAAAAATGCCGGGTTAACAGAAGTCTCCCAAAACACTAATTGTCAGAAAATACAATCCAATCCAGAGCACAAAGCAAACCAAATACATTTTTATAATACTTCAGTTTCACAGACGCAAGATCAAGGAATACATGAAGAAGAAAGAGTTTTTAAACATATTAATGATAGGCAACAGACTGTATCAGAATATCAGGAAACCAGTAATACTGGTGATTCTTCTTTGAATGGTCACATGAGTAATGGTGGGATATCAGTTATCAAACAGAATACAAAGGCTAGATCTGCTTGTCAAGAACTTGAAAGTATTGACAGATATAAAAAAGCTGGATTAGAAATCTCCAGTAATGGTAAGAATGATTTAAAGGAGGTAAGATATCAAGAAATGAAAGGAAATCAGAATACCCATGGAATAAACACATTATGTGAGCAAAAGAAATACATTGGTACAGATAATCATAAAGTAGAAGAATATTCTAAATCTCAACGTGTGTTTTTGGGAAGAGCTCAAGAGAAAATGGGGCATTTCAATAAATATAAACAGCTAACTGATTTAGGGCATTCTGATCATTTAAAGAAAGCTGAAAAACATATTAAAAGTAAAGGATCCAAAGGGAATGAGTGTTTAGGAAGTCAATGTTCTCCAAAAAATATTTTGACAAGCAATAAATATATGACACAGAAATCCATTGTGAAAGAAGTCATGCATCCAGCACCATCCACTAATTTTAAAGATAAGTTACATGGAAAAATCAAAGAACAAATACATCCAACAAAATACTACAAAGTGAAAGGAGACATAAAAACAAAGAAAAATGAAGCCCTTTCTTCGAAGAAAGAAATAGTGAAGAGTAAAGGTAAAAAGTATTCTAAGATAATACCAAAAAAGGTGAGGTCTCCTAATGTTGGTTTGAATGATTAAATTTTTTTCTTGATTTTTAAAAAAATTTGTAAGACATCATCCAAATTTCTCAACTTTCCTATACATGTCTCTATATCTAATTTAAGACTTTCTTAAATCCTCTTATTGGGAGACATTTTTAAAGTCAATCAGTATTTTTTCTAAAATTATTTCAAGATTATTCATGTTATTTATACCACTAAGTATTGCTCCTGGTCCCTACATTATTTGTTCATTTATTTTAGCAAGTTGGAATTTATTTGGTGTGCTATATCGTTGGGCTTGAAAATTTTATTTTTATAACTAACTCCGAAGCCCCTTATACAGTATTGTTCTTTAAATCTATCTTGGGAGATTTATAAGGGGGGAATCCCAAAAAAAACAGAATTTATTTATTTAAAAAAGTATTTATTCTTGCATGTTTAAATTTCAGTCACCTTCAAGGTACTCTCCATTTGACACAATACACCTATTGAGACACTTTTTTCACTGCTCAAAACTGTTTTTGAACTCATTGATTTTGAGTTCAAAATCTGCCATTTTTTTGTTTCACCTCTTCCACAGCAGCAAAACATTCCCCTTTGAGGACTTTTTTCATCTGGGGACACTAAAATAAGCAACTCTGAGCGAGATTGGGTGAATAGGGAGGGTAGAGCATGGAGGTCATGTTGTTTGGGGTCAAAAACTGCTGAGCACTCAGCGTAGTGTAAGTAGGCACTCTCGTAAATCACCCATTATGGAATAAACAAACACACTGAAAGAATCTCAAAAAAGAAATTCACTGAAGCTGAACAGAGCCTCTCACAACAACACGAGCTGGGACACTGATGCCAATAGTTTCCTAGAACACTTACCTAGCAGAGAAGCCTGTACTACATGGTACAGGCTCCCAAAACACCATAATTCTGGGGTCTTTTGGGTCCCCCCCATATATCAAATGTTTTGTGTTTTTTCCTTAAGAGCAATAGATTAAATGAAAAAAAGTAATAGGTTTTATTTTATTGCACAATATACTTCAGGATATATTTTTTAATTCATTTTGCCATACATTAAAATATTTGTGTGGCTGTTGGTTTTTTGTTTTGTTTTGTTTTTGAGTTGGAGTCTCACTCTGTCGCCCAGACTGTGCAGTGGCATGCTCCCGGCCACCGCAGCCTCAACCTGCTGGGCTCTGACGATCCTCCCACCTCAGCCTTCCAAGTAGCTGGAACTACCGGTGCGCACAACCACACCCGGCTAGTTTTGGATTTATTGTAGAGATGAGGTCTCACCAAGTTGCCCGGGCGGGTCATGAACCTGCGGACTCAGGCAGTCCATTCGCCTTAGCCTCCCAAAGTGCTGGGATTACAGGCTGAGCCACTGAGCCCGGCCTGACTGCTGTTTTCAATGAGTATACACTATCTATTATTATTTATGAGTTTCCTAAATATCATTAAGATTCTAACTAAATATTTATAGTTTTTAACAGTATTTACAATAATTTTCAAAACATTACTAGCAGTTCTTACTGTTAGTAATTACTTCTGGTAATCTGTTTGTGATTTCTACTTTGCTGATTTGATCAAAACCAAAAGTACATTGACTTATTTATAAAATACACATCTGGAATCTTTCTATAGATTCAGATTCTCATAAAATAACAAAAATCTGAGTAGCAGTAGAAATGAGGAAGACTTTTTTTCTGTTGTGCTGTGACTGCATACATAATAGGAATCTGCTGTTTATCAATTATATGGACAGTTATGAAATGATATAGGAGGAGCTAATTCAGGGTGGAGGAGCTCATTGAAAAGGAATGCTAGTTTTTGAAAGTGTATCCATTTTGACGTCTATTTTTCTAGCAGTTTTTTAAATGTCGGGTTCAGTGATTTTAGGTAGTCTTGATTTAGTTCTGGTAGCCTTATTACTTGAAGTAGAAAAAATAAAGAAGTAAAATACAGAAAAGTAGCTTATGTATTATTTTGTTCAGAAAGTAATAATATAATGGAAACTAGTAATAAATACATTGCAAGTAGCAGAATGGGGTTTTTAATTTTTTAAACTTTATTTTCATTAAGAAGCATGCTGGTACCTAAAGAAACTAGGTATCTCTCAAGTACTCCTGAATATGGTCAGTGCTAAACTTACATATGCACTGTTCCAAAAGTCGTTTCAAAAGTTGTCAGATCCATAGATTAACCTTTAATTTGAATGATCTGTAATATTATTAGTACCTGTGTTTTAGATTCTCATATTGGGGATGTAACGTATAGAAAGAAAAAGGAGAATTTTTGTCTCTATTTCTGAATGAAAGACTGCGTTAGGTATCATTTTTTAATAGGTCAAGTTTGACTGTAGAATATTACCCTCCTCAAGGAACTTAGAGCACTCCAACTACCTGATCTCCATCATGTTGTCCCACAAAGTCCTATCAAGCTGTGCATTGGGAGTTAGAGTCCTGGGTTCTAGATCAGCTTTGCCATCAGCTTAATGCTGTCCAATACAACTTTTTGCCACAACGAAGTCTTACATTCAAATTTGCCTTGTTTCATACTGCAATCACTAGCTACATGTGGCTATTGAGAATTTGAAATGTGATTAGTAGCATGGGGAGCTGGATTTTAAATTTAATTTAAATTAGTTTAAACTTAAATAGCCATATGTGACTATTGGCTACATATTGGTGAGTGGAGGATGTGACATTGGACATATGTTACCCTTTTATGACTGTATTTTACTGAATTTAAAAATGGGACTTAGGCTAGGTAACATCTAAGCTCCTTACATCTACCTCTGAGCATTTGATTTCTGTCCTATATTTTAAAATTACTTATTCTATGCCTCCTACCCACATTTCAACCTTGATTCCTTTACTACAGATGATCTCAGCTGAATATAGAGAAAAAAAATAGCCAAATTTAACTAACGAATTCTAACTACTGTGGTCTCTTCACCTTTTTAGTGTTGTTTTCTAAGTCTAAGAAAGTTGCATCTTGGTTTACATAAATGCCAACATGGTGCAGTTTCAAAATGCTTTTACCTTTTAAGAATAGTAATAACCAGTGCTTTTAAAAATAATATAAAATTTTTACCTCCTAAAAATTTGTATTTTAGATATATTTAAGTAAAATCTTTCTAGTAATTTCACCTTTCACAGGAAATAAGTGTTTGGTGTATATTCTTCCAGACATTTCTGTATGTGCATACATGTACTGCATTATACGTGTATGTACATACTGCATGCAGATGTGTGTGTATATATATTTTAAATGATAATATATACCTTTTACTTATAACCTCCTCTTTTGTTTTAACATGATATTTTAGTTTCTCTTTCCCTGTGAGCACTTGTAAGTTCACCTTCTCATTTTAAATGACTGCATAGTATTAATATATCATTGAATAAATATATCATAATTTACTTAACCAAGGTCCACTGATAGACATTTAGGTTATATCTTATTTTGATTTTCTTTTGTTGTTAAATACAGTGCAGTGAATTGTTGCAAAAATATATCTTTGCTCATCTGTTAATTATTTTTTTACACTGAATTCTTAGAAGTGGAATTGGTAAGTTCCTAGAAATTGGTGAAAGATTATGTAGGTTTAAAGGTTTGATAGGTTTTACCAAATTGCTCTCTAGGAAAGTTGTACCAATTATAATTCTGCCAATGGTACATGCCTATCCATTTCTGTGTTTCGCTGCTAGCGCTGAGCATTGTTGGTTTTGAAAATTTTGGCCAAAATGATAATCAAATATGTGTCTTAAAGCACACATTATTTGAATCAAGCCCATGTGTATTGTCAATACATATTACTTCATTGGTGTTACTTATCTTTTTAATAAATTGTTTAAAATGGCAAGTACTATAATTTTCTTTATATTTAACATAGTCTCTGACTAGCAACATTATTTATGTAATTAGAATACATAAACTGGGGGTGGGCAGGGAGGTGTTATTGACAGTAGTCAAAATCTGCTTGGGGAAGGGGAGGCACACCTCATCAACAAGGGTACCTGCACAGTGAATATTTGTATACCTAACACCAAATTGTACCCCACAATTTTAAAATTAAAAAATTTTAAAGTTAAAAAAAAATACATAAACTGATTTTTTAAGTTAAGACATACAAAATCTAAAGCTTGGGCTTCTTACATGAAAAAATTATATTTCACTAAATCTGAAAATTCAGGTTGTGTGTATATATCTGTATATATATGTGTGCATATACTTGTATATGTATGTATATATATGTGTGTGTGTGTATGTATAACTTTAGCATATTTTCCATACTATATTGCATTAAAATTATCATTTGGATGGGTCCAGCAGGACCAACTGAGAGGGGGGAGATTTTTAAAAAGTATTATTTGTTCTCCTTGTCATTCCAAATAGATAATTCGTATATGGACAAAGATGAGCATGGGTCATCCTCTGAAAGTGAAGATGAAGCCCTGGGTAAATATCACGAGGCCTTATCCAGAACATACAATTCCAGGCTACCATTGGCAGATTCTAGACAAAAGAACTATGCTTGGGAAACAAGACAAAAATACAGTCCTCTGTCTGCAGAGTATGATGGATACAGTAGTGAAGCATCAATAGATGAAGGTAAGATAGGTTATTTTATATTTTTTACATGAAACATTATAGTATTAGATTATTTGTACCTAAAATTCTAGGAATCTGTGGTTGCAGAATAAACAAGAGAGCATATACAGTAGAGTCATGTTTCTGGGATGTAGCTTACTGAAATTCAAATCTTTGGGTTCAAGCCAGAAATCAAAACCAATACCAAAACACCCCAAAGCAAAACACCAATAATTTAAGTAAAGTGATAATTGTAACTCTCATTTCACACTGAACATATGCCTAGCAAGCATGAGATAGAGGATGTGAATCTGCTGTTCTCTCAGATGGAATCAGTTCCTATATACCTGTTATGAGAACTGGTAGTGTCTAAGTATCTCATAGTGTTGAATATGATTCCAGTGTGTAAATGTATGCTTTTTCATTCAATATGGCCCCTAAGCACCAGCCAAATGCTTCACATGGCACAGAGCAGAAGAAATGGTAATCTGTTCCATGTGGGAGGGAAAACTGTCTGAGGTGGATTCACTGAAAGCTGGTACTTTATTATACTCTGCTTTTAAGGCAATTAAAGGGATTTTCAAGGATTTCAATAATTTCATGGATTATTTTGTCTCTAATTGATTTTGCCTTATGTACTGAAATTGTCTTTGGAATTCAACCTATGTAGAAGATACATGTCCACTTAAATGTTTTTAAATTTTTCTGTGATATAAATAAAATAGTTTTTTGCCATTAATTAAAGCATACTTATTTCCATATCTAAATAAATGGCTCACTTGCTTCATAGAATATATGACTATTCATCCTAATTATTATCTTTATGCCCAGATATCAAGGAAAGAACTATATGTCCTAGATATCACAAGCTATACTTGATTTTGTAGCTGTACTTTGTGTTTCAGGGCATATTGCTATTGAGGACTTAGTCCATCCCAGCATATATAGTTGTCAAAGGGGCCAAATTATTTTTGTATTTAGCTTCATGCTAACTAAAGACTTATGCATCTCATTTCTGTGTCTACTAGTACATAGGTATAATAATTAATCAAATACTGAAGGATTAGATTAATCACTGTATACTGATTACTATATAATATAGAGGAGTTGTTAAGAGATTCAAGGGGAGAAATAAAAAATATCGGATATGTACTCCACCCTCAGAAATACATTTTTAGTTCCAGGGAAAACAAGACATGTGCTTACAAAGATAACTTAAGTAATGCAAATCAGTAAAACCAGTCCCTAACATATGTACATCTCTGGCACATGAATATTAGATCAGGAATAGATGGGTTTTGAAATCTGACTCTTGTTGACATTCTGGCTGTGTCTCTTAAGCATTTAGCTATAAAACCCTGAGTAGTATAGTTACTTGTTTTTAGGTTTGTTTCATTGTTTCTAAAATGTGGGTGGTGCCAATCTGGTAGGGTGGTCATGAAAATTAAATGATATTTCTGGTACAATTTTTAGCATAGTATCTGGTAGCTAATAGGTGAGTGATCAGTAATGTGATTGAAGATGATGGTAATGAAACGTTCTCATTTCATTTTACCCATATATTTAGGACCCATCCTATACATTTCTACCCTAAAGTATTTTATAAAATGCCCATGATGGACTGATTTCAGGCGTTCTGAGATTAGATTCATTTATTTCAGAAACATTTGTTGAAAACTTTTAATGTATCATACACTGTGCTATATACTGCTATATACTGTGGACATAAAGATGAGTAAAACAAGCCTGTTTCTCTCAAAGCTCCCACAGATTAGAGGAAGAAGACTAGTGAGTATATATATGATATAATATGATAAGAACTCTTTGTTAGTTCTGTGAACAAAGTACAGTAGAAATGTAGAGGAGAAGGTAATTCAGACTGTGGTGGTGGGTATAAGAGGAAGTCTGGAATTTGGGTGAATTGAACTTCAATGAGAATTATTTCAACAAGCATGGAACAGTGCATGAAATCATGAAACCAAAGGAAAGTGTATTTCAGTGCCTCTAACTTGAGTTCTGTGTGTGGAGAAGAGGCAGATAACAGAACTGAGTGCCTTGCTCAAGAGTTTGAATATTATCTACAGGAAATGTAGAGCCCTGGAAGGTTTAAGCAGGAAAGTATGGAACTTTCAGATCATTGCTTTTAAGAAACATTTTTAAACTAGTGTAACAAAAGATGAATTGAAATAGGAGACAGGACCAGTTAGATATCATGAGATCCTTGTTAGCAGTGAATTTAGAGAGGAAGGAAACATAGATTTAGGGGTGGACTCAGTATATCTAATAGTGAATGACTGAGTGGTGTGCAGTGAATGAGGAATCAGTATATTAGTTAAGAAAACATTAGACAAGTCAGTTTATGGGAGAAGATGGCCTAGTTTCAGTCATGGTGAGTTTGATGTGTCTGTGAAATATCCAGGTAGAGGTAGATATCCTTGTTAAAATGCTGTCTTTGGGATTTTGGTGGGGAGTGGACCAAATTATAATGTAAGATAATAACTGACTAGGAGAATGGCTTTTATATCACAGGTTATTGCTTATCGAAAGATCAAAACTAGAAATAGGTTCAATGGAGTGGTGGGGGAACAGGAGAGTTTGATTAGAGAGGGAGATTTTAGAGCTCAAGATCAGGGGGAAAGCAACTTCAAATGTGAGTTAATACTGAATATACCCACAGGCAAAGATGCAGAGTATATACAAAATACTGGAGGGCCCTAGGGAGGGGAATGAAATGGCATCCATTGGGGGAAGGTGTGAGAGGGCTTTGGAGAGAAAATGGTATTTGGGTTCAGCTTTTAAGAATGGGCAGTAAGTTGGTGAAAAGATTAAATAGAGGTATTTCAGGTAATAGGAACCCCATAAACCTCAAAGTATGAAGTGGTAAAATGTAGAGAATATTTCAGGAACAAAGAGGAGTCTACTTGATTTCAACAGGAGGTAATAGGAAATTAACAAAAGAGAGTTGAGATCTAAAGCCTGGAGTGACTCCTAACAACTCAGTGAAGATTTTTCACCAAGGAACCATCATCAAGGATGTGCTTTACCAGGGTTAATTTTGTAGTAAGGAGGCTATAGGAAAATACATCAATTATGAAGGCATTTGGAGTAGTGTATGTGGAAAATGATAAAAGTCTGAATTGCAGTAGTGACAATAGGAATATAGGAGGACAGAAGAGATATTACGGAGGTAGAATTTACTGGATTTAGGAACTAGATGTATTTGGAACATTAGGAAAAAGAAAAGAAGCATCAAAGAGGACCGGTTTCCATCATATATGACTAGAGAATAATGAGGTCATGATATAAATATGAAATCCAAAGAGGGATCTACTTTTTTGTTGAAAGTGATAAATGAGTAGGAGATACAATAAGTGATTTTACATATGTGATAAGGCAGCATATTTAAGCAGTTGGACATAGCTATCAAACTTGCAACTAAAAATATGGCACAGGGGAGAAGTTTTCAAATCATGTATGCTGAGAGAATAGAAACCATGGGAATGGGTTAAATTGATGAAGGATAATATGTGGAGAGGAAAGATCAGATAATAATTTCCTTTGACAGAATTAAGAGTTCCACATAAAGAAACAGAAGAATTAGTAAAAAGATAAAGAGGAAATTCAGGGGAATGTTCTGTTTTATCAGTCATGGAAGAAGAGTTTTAAGAAGGAAGGCAGAGAGATTGGGGAGGATTAGACCTCAAACAAGCCTCTTTGTCCTATAGAAATTAATCAACAGTTTTCAGTTGAAGTTTCAGTAGAGTAATAAGGAAATACGTCAGACTGAATGTTGTTAAAGGAGGGAATACGTGATAAGAAAGGGTACATTCACTGCCTATACTTTCTTACCACCTACTCTCCTTATCAGCTTTGAGGGTCAAGAAAGAGGTAGCTGAAGGGGTTTGTTTGTAAACCTACTGTTCGCCTTCCCCCTCCGTCCCTCCCACTGATAGTAAACCTCTTCTGGCATATCTTTAGGTAGGAGCAGGATTTGCTTCTCATATGCAGTTGCATCTCCATCACGTGGTCGCCCCTTGGGATAGCTGTCTGAAGAAACACTGCTTCCTCCATGGCTGATCACCTAAGAGGACTACTGTGTGGAGTTCTCTTGGTAGGATTTGATTAATTTTCCTGAGTCACAAGTAATGGGATAAATAGAATAGGTTACACTTCTTACTGCTGTGACCCTTTATTCTGTATATTACCATCACACAAGTTCATAAAGGTTACACTTGACGAATGTGGATTGAGATAACTAAAGGACATTACAAGGTAGAAGGAAAAATATTTTAAAATACACATTTTTGCATGACACAGTATTACTTAATTAGTGCTGATAAGAAAGCTTTCGGTACCCTAATTAATTTCTCAGTACCCTAATTAATTTCAGTAGAGAGACTTAGGAACAGTCAATTTGGAAATAAATCTGCAAGAGTAGAGAAGGTTAGAGAGGGCCTGAATAAGAATTAGGAGAGACCAGTGCAGGAGAACTTTAACCAGGTAGTGAGAACTGCCATTTATTGATCCTGACTCTAAGTTTCTATACTCATTGTATCTAATCTTTCCTGCAATTTGTTGTGGTAGGTAAGATTAGCACCATTTTACAAAAGAGAAAAGAGACATTAAGTCGATTAAGTAATTTTTAACCTAAAGTTACACAGCAAGTAATAAAAACTATACTTGTCAAGGTGCCTGCAAAATTAGTGTTGTTTGACTTTCATTAGGTCTTCACTGCTCTTTAGTATTCTCCCTAAGTCTGTTTCATACAAGGTGTACCCCTCCAGTTGGCCCTAATGAGAGAGAGAGAGAGAAAGGAGAGAGAGAGAGAGAGAGAGAGAGAGAGAGCGCAGAAGGAAGGAAAGAGAAAACACAGGTATTCTAGGTATTCTAGAATAAGTAAGAAAATGTGATGGTATTTTTGTTGATCAAGTTTTCTCCTCTAGGTGGCCTTATTAATCTTCTAATTTTTTTTGAAATACAAAAAGGGATAATATCTAAGAATTTTTTCTAGGAAAAGTAAA